CTTAACATTCGGGATATTCATGATTATAATGGGGTAATTTGTGAGGTTAGCGTCTCGTGAAGATCAAAAATCTCAGACAGAGTAAGTATCTACATAATATCTACACATTTCTTGTGGTTTCTCTACGTTTTATTGCAATGCGGTTGCGTAATTTAAATTAATATCTTACTAACTCGCGGTTTCATCCGCGCACGGCATAACTTAATGGTGAACTGACGATCTTCCTATAAAACAATCTGTTAAACGCATCACACTCCATCGGGCAGCCATTTTTATTTTATTTTAGATTTTTAATAACATTTAAAAAATGTTTTAATTAAATTTATAGCATATCTATCGCCTTCTAACGAATCAATTAAAGTTAGGCATTTAGAAAGGAAATAGGTACCTACTGTATAGTTATCATATTTACTCTTTGATGCGTCATCGAAATAAACATTCACAAATCCTTTGCCAATTACAGTGACTTTCGATTATAAGTAGATAGATAGTTATTAGTCGATTATTTATTTATCAGTAACAAAACAAAGTGTAAGACTACGTAGTTGTTTACACGATCTGTTACAATCCTAGTGTTATTTATTATGTATTGTGTATAGTAATTGCAGTTGCGCAATTATAATGTACATAATGTAATAAAAGCATTGATTCTCGTATAGAGATAAACATGTAACACAGTCACATCTATTTATATAAAATCCGTCCAGTGTTTGCAGTTAACTAACCCATTTATAAAACTAAGAGTTCAATGTTTAATTCAGAATTATTAGGTAATTATTAGTACTATGGATTCACTCGCATTCCAGTAATATTTTTGTTTTGTTTTGAACAGAAGTTCATTATTGATTTTATGCCTAAAATTATATTGTTAGGTAGGTAGGTACTTACCCTATTCGTCGCGCATACTGCTCATGGTTGTCGAACCCGGGTATGGCTCGAAACTAGTTGAATCATTCATAGGTACGACCTAGTTAACATATCGTTGAGTCTTTTAACCTGAATAAAATCATGTTTTATGGATCTCTACCAAATATTCCTCTTGTATTTCAGGTAAATATTTTAGCATAGGGACACAGGCGTAAGGTTGCAAGCCTTTCGGTTTTCTATCGGATACATTTCGGTGAGTGCAGGGAAATTGTACAACTTCATTTCCCCTAGTCCTTTCCATCATCGTACCACATCTACCATGAATCGGCGAAGCGTCATTGATTCATGGTAGATGTCCCACCCACACGCACGAAGCGCTTCGCATCAAGCTTCTTTGTGCGTACTGATAAGGAATGGAATTCTTTGCCAGAGTCTAAATATTTCTTGAAGGAAACCTAAAACCTGGGTTGTATTCAAGGCCCGAATGAACAGGTTGCTTATAGGACGACGTGCTTCATCGTAGACCGCATCATTACAACCAGGCGAGATAGTGGTCAAACGTCAGCCAATCAAATATATGAAAAAGAGCATTATCTTATTGACAGTTTTAGGAGCTGTTACCATTTCCCAGCACTTCAGGAGTTTTAGCAAGTTTAAGAATTCGTCTTAGTTACCGAGTACCTGCCACAATCGCCAGTAAACATTTTAATATGTCCTCCGTCTAAATTGATTTAGTTCCGTGAAATAATAAAGTTAGATAAAATAGTTTATGTTCAGCTGAACTAGCGAAACAAATGCTTTGAAACTACTGCTGATTGTTAGCCTTACCTGCGACCTATGAGGCGTATTGTACTGCATAGGTAATATACAAACTATTTTACTGAAAACATAAATGTGATCGAATACTTCCTGGCATATTTTAAGAACGATTTCGTTTCTCTGTTTAAACTAGGGATTAATCCATTTGTCAGTCAACGTGATCCGTAGTTCAAACGAAGGGAACCACAACGTTTATTTGATTCGTATTCAAACCAAGCTTTGATTTATGTAATGAGCCATTGTTTTATCGATTTAAAAATAGTTTCTTTTTGTTTACGGAAAATCAGCATTCTTCCTACTTAAACGGCAAATAAATTACAAGCCAAAAATGTTGTTTGAAGCGTATAATTTTGTGATTTACATGGACATTGCTCTTTGTTTTAATTCTAAAATGTATTTTTCTTTGTCTCGTCACTCTAGCTGGAAGTGAGTCATGTTGCTACGAAACGCAGGAAAATTTCTTTAGTTTGTGCTTCGAATACTTAGAGAGAAAATGTCGCCTTTTTATCATGGTTATAAGATGGAAACTGTTTTACGATATTAAATTTTCATCCGCATTTTCAATCAGTTGTTTCACTGTGTGCGCATGTGTGTGTGTAGACTCATTCGCGACGGTGAGTCGTTGTGTGCATGACCGATAGGCCGGTCGTTGACCCTCTTATCAGGCTACCTACGTGCGTCTCTGTTGCAGTGGAAGATCTTTTCCACACCTAGGCAGCTAGACATTTACATAATGTAGGTACCCATTACCTGAGGTTTTCCTACGTGCCACTCGAAACGTAGGTAGGTGCTGGTTGAATTTATTTCGTGTTATCAGTCAACTTTCGGCTCGTTGGAATTATAAACTTGGTATGTTATGTAGATAACATTGGGTTCACAACATCGCACTTTCCAGTCTAGAAGGGCTCTGCAAAGGTCTTCTCCGTGAGTGTAAGTCCGAAATGTAACTCGTTTAACTCGTCGAGTACCGGTTTTATAGACACAATTAAAGAACAATAGGTCGCGGTCACCGGTGACCGCTTGGTGTTTGACAGTTTAAACAAAGACTTACTCTCGAACTATTAGGTAAGTAACTTACAAGGCGGTAACGACATCTCCTTAGTTTTATACACAAATTAGTAGAGTAACGAAAGAAGTATACAGAGCGGATATGAATGGGGCCGTCGGTAGAGGGCGCCCTAGACGGACATATAGTGACCAGATTGGCGATATATTAAAGAAGGGCCAAATTAAAAGTACCCTTAACCGACGAGCATGCACGATAAGATTGATGACTGTTAATGAAGCGAAAGAGGTATGTAAGAATCGTAGTAATTGGCGTTCCTTAGTCTCTCTACCCCCATGGGAGACAGGCGTGAAGTTATGTATGTATTAGTCTCTGGTTCGATCACAGCAAAAAATAACTTTTAGATAGAGTTAGGACCTTTCTACTATGACAGTCGTCTAAATATTTGTTAACAGTGTAAGTTTCATTCATTATTTATTTCTTTAACAGTACCTACGTTTTTTTTGACGAGGAAACATCATATTCAATGACTTCTCCCGCCTTGGGTTAGGCGAGAGGGAGTGTGAGACTCTTACTGACTAAAAACCACCCCGTTCCTATTCCTGCTCTTTGAGCCAGAGCCCCGGCAACCCGTTAGGCCTTCCGCGGCCCCGTATTTCTTTAACAGTACCTTCCTGTTGACGGGGGAAAATCATTCAATGACTTCTCCCGCTTTGGGTTAGGCGAGAGGGAGTGTCAGACTCTTAGTGACTAAAAACGATCCCGTTCCTATTCCTGCTCTTTGAGCCAGAGCCCCGACAACCCGTTAGGCCTTCCGAGGCCCCATATTTCTTTAACAGTAGCTACCTAAGTAATATTGATCCTAGGCCAACACTGCACTACTTACTAAATACTACGAAAAATGCACTGCTATAATACATATTTCTAAAACATAGCTCTCAGTATCTAGCTAAATATAGGTTTCAAGTTGCAACACCACCTACGATTTGATACCTAGGTCCAGATCTACCTATAGGTAACCTTATAACACCTAGGGTGGTGAAATCTCTAGCAGGATACAAAAAACGTAGGTGATGTTAGCTAATGTTTTATAAATCTTCTATTACAACAAATTGCGAAGGTAGCAACACAATATACTACCTACATACTTACCAGCGTCACGGTAGCTCAATCTCGTTATTGTTATGGGACACTTAATACGAATATTATGGAAGAAAACATGTAAGTAGATATTAAATACCTCTTACAGTAGAGTTACTATGTCTCTGTTTGATCAAGTGTCGGCTTATCAACACAGTGGCCCGCTGTACTCCAGTCAGCAATCAACGAGCCTTTGTGACCACCCTGGCAACCCTACCGGATGCAAAACGTGCTACTAAAATAACAACAATATTGTACATGTCGCGACATGTCATCAAGCCCTTGTTTATCCTTCCATCATTTAAGATTCCACTATCTACTTCCTGATTTAGGTACCATAATTTTACTGTATAACGGATAAACTGACATAACAAAGACATTATTAGCGTTTGTCGGTTGTGTATTATAACTTATACTTAAAACAGAGTATCGCTTCATATTATTTTTATGCTTTGTGACAAAGAATTTTATTATTGCAGGCAAATAGATGTATAATGTAATAAAAATATAAACTTTATTAATTTGAGACTTGTAGCGCCCTCTATGAATAATCAGAGTTATTAACATGCATTATTTTGTGCCAGTGTTACTAGTACACTAAATGGTGTTATAACATTTTTTATGTACTTATCAGAAAATATTTTGGTGAAGTGCAATATTTTAATTTAATTAGCTAGTTTAACGTCCATATGAATTTATAATAAATCACGTTGAATTTTTTTTTGATCACTGGTAACTCTGACTTTTGAAACATCAATTTCAAAACTGATTACTCCGTTCCATTGCACGAGATATGGTTTTGAATTTACAATAAAAAATAATTTAGATTTTACCACTTTTTTCATTATAATACAAAAATAATTTTTATTTGATTAGTTATTTTTGTTTGTTCTAAATTTTTTGTGTTGTAAGTTACTAATGAACAATAGATGCAAAATAAACAAAGTAGTATTATACTAAAACGGAGCGTTAATGTCAAATTATTTTACTTACCGAAAATCAAAACAAATTCTACATTACGATACATGACGACAAATAAAATTCAAGTTTATCTATTCAAGGTCAGATATATGTATTTTAATCAGTTGGCTTTGCCCCCTTCACGCCTAAGGGCCGCTCACAGATCTGGCTGTTATCTTTAACACGATAAAATAAAAAAAAAACAGCCATGGCCTCTGCAATGCTGAAGTTATTGAAAACTGAAGTGAGTTTCATTTTTATTTTTATTCATTAGCTATTATTAATTCAACATGTGTATTATAAAGCTGCACGTTGTGCGCAGTCACGTTATCGGCTTATAAATATTTAAACAAGAACTGCTCTGACCGGTATCATAAATTATAGGAATTGAATTACAGTACTACGTAGGTACATTCCAGTACTAATTTTTAGTTAAAAATAAAACTGCAGTTCAATGACGTATGTCTGATGATTTTGTGTAAGATACCTAATAGATGTTTTTCTGAGATAAGAAATTTCTAGTCCTACTACTTAGTGCTGTAACTGGTTACTATAAGACACGTTTTTTCATAAATTTAATTATTTATATCTAAAGCCATTACAATATTTCTATTTCGGTAAACACTTCCATCCAAAATATATCATAAAAGATTTCCTTTTCCCTTTTTCTGACGATAAGTAGCTGTTTTATAGACAAACAAAGGGGGTTTATACATTCACATGATTTGGTATTTAAACTGGCTACATTATTTATAAGCTATACAGATATGCTGCTGCGCAGTTGAATGTTGATGTTCTAGTTTCAACATGTCTTTCATTTATTCACTTTTGAAAATTTCATTGAGTTTACGCAATACCGATGTGAGAATCGACTATTTGAATAAGCAACCATCATGACTACAGTGATGGATTACTATACTGAAAGATATATCAGGAACATACTCTAGGTACTAGCGGCAACACTAATGTAGGAAAGGTTTAGTCTTAATTTAAAAATAAAAAATATTCCTGTCTATAAACAAAATAATTCTTGTATTGTAACTTTCGTTAGACATACTAAATAAATTATTATGTTTTCGGCTTTCTCTACTAAAAACTAGTCGAGTTCCTCGTCAAATTATTACGTGAGTAAGCCGAAAACATAAAAATAATTCTTACTACTGATGAGCATATTCGTTTATGGAGCAACTTTATCTTAACATAAAGCGTTTATCTGTAAATTTTTTTCATAAAGTAAATTATTTCAGTAACAATCTGGGTCAATCAATCAACTTATCTCTTTCAGTATTCTGAAGACATATTTTTTGGCATACATATTCATAAAGTTATCTTTTCTTTGATTGTGATGTGGTGAGCGGTATAACCAAATGTCTATATGTTTGTAATGAAGTTGTAGTTAAAAGATACAAGCAAAGGAAAAATACTAGAAGGAGTATCATAATTACTATAATTACTTTATCTCTTTATCAGTAACAATGATGTACATAATTAACTTTTTCTTTACATTTTAATTACCTAGTTAGCCGAGATGCTTGTATGCATATTTAGTAACTGAAGGTACTTACATAGTCAGATTTCTTTATGTAGTCAACGACTATAATATTAAATTAGATGTTTGCTTTTGTTAAGTTTTAGTAAATTATGTGTGTAGTTTGACAATCCATTCTTATAAAAATGATCTCTAAAAAGAACTTTTATATTTGTAGAAGAAAATTAGATTGATTGATCTTATTATTACTTTTATATCTTTAGAAAACATTATTATTGAGTAACTTGAGTAGTGTTATTTTGCTATGCTTGCTTATAGATCTATAGCTTGTTCTAACAAAATATTTTTCTCCATGTAGTCTCAGTTCGTACTTCGTAGAAGTTACAGCAGTGCTGCTCCCACCACAAAGCTCTTTATTGATGGACAGTTTGTGGAGTCAAAGACTAACAACTGGATTGAACTCACAAACCCAGCTACCAATGAAGTTATTGGCAGGTGAGTCACATATTAGTTTTTAACACGTTAAACCCCATGGACCGTCACCGGTGACCGACAATGTTAACGGAGGATTTACCTATAACAGTTTTCTATTGGCAGTCTAAGGCTTAATAAGTATAATGAGCAACATGTTCTAGGAATGATGTGTATGTGAACTTGTCTATGTTTGTAAACACCCCCATTAATCAGGAGAAAATACCATAGTATAAAGAACAAAGTAGGTTATCTTCATACAAATGCTCCGCGCGCGGCTTATATGTGTGCGCCATAGTATCTATGCGTCGACGCACGCACACTTTAACAAAATCTCGACCCGTTTCTCAGTGCGCCAGGCAGGGCTAACACTGCACGAGGTTCGCGCGCGCATCACTTTTCGGCACTGTTAAATGAAATAAAAAATGTCTGATAACCGTAGAAGAACGTATTGCTGTGTGTTTGGGTGTCTTAATAATTAATCGATTCCAGAACTGTCTCTGTTCAGATTACCTATTGAACAGGAAAGGTAAGCTAGTCACTTTTTCTAGCATAATATAATTTGTAGGTACTTGATGATGAGATACCTACTTACTTATTCTTACTCTTATCATTCTTCATAGTTCCTACTCAACCAGAAATGTAATTACCTACTATACTTAAATATTATAAGAAAATGTGGTATTGTATTGTTTATTTCACAGTTTATCTGATTTGTTAAGAGCGTGGCCGTGTCGCATTTTTCCATATAAATGTATTCCAAAATTTACTTTCTGAATACTATGTATAGAGCTAAAGTTTATTTTAAGAAGTTAATAATCTTTTTATAAGCTTTTTATTTTTACTAAATTTATAAATTGATAAAATATTCAATCATAATATGCTTTTCATTTCATAAATTTAGATCAAGTGCTGCTTGTTCGAAAATATTAACTAAAAGTAAAAGTGACAACCCTGGGGATCAACGCAAGAGTAGGCTAATAACTCGGCGGGCGGCCTTAGATAACCTACTGTGTTCTTTATACTATGAAAATACTATTGCAAGGAGGACTAGTTTACAAAACATTGTAGGTATAACATTGACATAGTGTTGAACAATACCTACTGCGATCCCTGCATATTTCTTTTCATTCTATTACATTCATGCATCTGTACTTTTAAACACCTGTTATTACAATAACACTTTCACCAAGCAGTTATTTTTTTTTTCATTACTTTGAAAATAGTATTGTATATTAGAATAAAAGATTCTTTGTATTAATTGTAACTTGATGGATCAGTAAATCAGTATGCATACTTTACCATGCATGTTTTGGAAGCGTGCTTGCAATCAATTTTAAATGTTACAAGAGAACCAATTGTAGCCAATTTATTTTCATTGGTGTGAATGACATGGTTATGTCAATGTCATTCATTATTTGGTCAATATTTATTCCTTGTGTTAGATCTTCCAAAAGGAAAAGAAATTTTAACTTAAAGATTTCTTAAGGTTTAAGCTGTTTAACGAGTAGACGGATCACCTGGTCTTGTTTTTGTTTTTATTAAAAAGCGTTGCCCCACACTAGGATTTTCTCCTGTGTCGTGGGTGCGTTTACAAACATACAAATTCACATACACATGATACCCAGACCCGGAACAACAATTTGTGGATCACACAAAGTGTTGTTCCGTGCGGGAATCGAACCCGCGACACGTTGCACGGCAGCCGGTTGCCCAGCCACCGCACCAACCGTGCAGTCAGGTCTGGTGGTAAGCAATCGGCGTCGCCCATGGACACCTGGAACACCAGAGGCGTTACAAGTGCGTTACCGGCCTTTTGAAATTAGGAATTTGAGGATTATTCATGATTCAGGGGGGCGTAATTGGGCCTCTGGTAATCTCACTTACACGACGATACATAACGGAGGCGTGGTTTCACGTCGGTCTTCTGTGAGGCCGTGGTATCACTCCGGTCGAGCCGGCCCATTCGCACTGAAGCATGGCTATCCCAACTCTTAAATATCATTGTAGTTATAAAAATCTTAGTTGTTTTACAGTAATTGGCGTATAAGTTATTACAGAATGCTTAAATATAAACGGTCACCTTAGTGTGAGTCTGTTACCAACCACCATTGAAAATTATTGTCCCTTTAGTAGTCAGTAGCTAGACACTTATAGTGGCTACTACTAAGATTATACAGCCTAGCGACACACCTTAATCAAAATTTTGTTCAGTAATTTCTTATCACACATACACTAAATCTGGCCTCATACCAACTTGATTACTGATAACACTACTATTGGTTATCTCATTTTTATTTGCCTTCGTAAGTAACTTATATGATTGGTTTTTATTTATCTTGTATAGTTATGTAATCATTAAAGTTTTATAATAAAACACAGTTGACGGCAAAAGTACCTAATCTTCTATTTTTGGAGGTGTGGCAAACCTTCTAAGTTTAAATTTGATGAAAACTAAGGCAACTGTTGCCAGAAATTTATTTTAATACTCTAGCCAAATCTGGCGAATAATTCATTTATCATACTAAGTAGAATGATTTACTATACATATTTTAGAAGAATGACGTAATTTTTATCATTGCCGATAACAGACAGGTTAAAAAGATCAGACGAAAAATGCATGCCTTATCTACATGGAAAAAATGACGAAAATTAATAAACAATTTCTGTGATTATTTAAAGGGTACCTGAAGCCACTAAAGATGAGTTGAACGCCGCCTTAGAGTCAGCCAAGAACGCTTACAAATCATGGAGCCAGAGCACTATTATGACCAGACAACAGCTGATGTTCAGGTTTGTATTTGGATACTCCAAGAGTTTTATGGGAAACTGAAACTGAACTAGGTCAAAAGAAGTGTGGAAGATTCTGATAGTGGATTAGTGGATATGTTTCTCTTTCAAAAAAATCTTAAATTAGTTGGAAATGGGTAAACCGTATAGAAAACATCTAATACAAGCCATTACCTTCGCTTGTAGGATTAGGATGGCGAAATGGTCATTTATGAATTTTGGTTTATTTTTAGAACACTAAATTTTAATCGTCTTTTTCATTTATCAGCAGTATGTAATAGAAAACGTATTTGTATGTAAATTTCACAGATTCGCTCGTCTGTTGAGGGAGAACCAAAGTAAGCTCGCTGCTAAGATCACAGAGGAACAAGGCAAGACTCTCGCTGATGCTGAAGGAGACGTTCTCAGAGGCATTCGTAAGTAACCTTATTCAAATATGTCCCAGGTTTAGTCTTAACAGACACCTTCTGAAGTTGGGTTTATGTTATTGTACTTACGTTGGAAGTCACAAGTCCAATCATAGATGATCGGCTCCAGAAATGAATGTCACAACTCTTGAGTCCACCATTTCATTTGTCATTCATCTTTCTATCTACAGAGTCAGTGGAGAACAGCTGCAGCATCACAACTCTTCAGTTAGGCGACTGCATCCAAAACATCGCTAAGGACATGGACACACACAGCTACAAAGTGCCTCTGGGTGTTGTCGGAGGTCAGTACCTATCACTCAAAATCATCACCATGAATCAGGACATACCCACTGTTAAGCAAAGATTTCGCTTTTCAGAGAGGGATATGGGGATTACCTAAACCACACTGGCCGTCGCGAGGGATCACAATTGGATCATTTTAACTTTATATGATATTGCGTAAATCTTTTGGTGTTTAAACTGCGAGTCTTAGGACATACCCGGGTGAAATGAAAGTGATATTTGATAAAAATAACTTTCTAATATTTTTGTTTACGCTGCGCACGACCCACGCACCTTGAATGTGCAGTAAATTGCCAGATGAATTACGCAAATGCAACATTTATTTTGAAGTAGAGAACGCATTTATAATCTGTGCTACTTGAGCACTTTATTTCTATTTATGTCATGTCCTGTTTCACATTAGATTCAGACTCTCGAATAATGATCGTTACAATGACTTTGTAGATTTTTTGTAAATATACAGTAAATTAATGCAGCGCATTTTCCCATGAGACCCTAAGATGACTTCATTTTATTAATTGAAAAGTTGAAATAATTATGTTTATTCTTGTTCTTTTTGTTCCTATTTCAAGATACTTGAGTTTGGCACAATGTCTTCTTTTTTCACTCTCTCTTATCGGGCATTTATGATTGCATATAAAAATCACAACATAAAATACATTTTTAATACTTTGAAAAAAAAAGCAGCCAGCTGATCGAGGTCAAATAAATCCGAATAAGCCAATAATATAGTTAAATTTAAAAATATAATAATTTACAATGAACCGATAACAGTGATTTTAGATTTACCTAACGATCATTATGTGATACGTATAGATATCTTACTCGGTAGGTACAACTGATATAGTTGCCATGAAAAACAAAATAACATTATATCACAAACAAGATTACAGAACTCGTGATTATGTAGATATTAAGAAATTACGTAGCTTTTAACAAAAAACTAATATTAGATTGTATATTACTATTGGGTTCAGACCATGTTAATAGAAATACTGTTATTATGTCCATGCCTGTATTTTTAAGGGTAGTTTTCATAAATAAATGCGTTCTCCTTGCCCCTTATGCTATGTATGTAACTTCAACAACTTAAATTTGGATAGGTTTAAAAAAAATATTTTGGAAATGTATGAATTTTGTCCCGAACGATGCATAATGTGTTAAATTGAATTAAAATAATTTGCAAAGCATATGAATGTGATACAAACAATAAGTGTGGTTAAATTATGTCTGTGTCTGGATAACTGCAAAAAAAGTATTTTTTAAGTTGGGAAAATCATCGAACGACTTCTCCCGCCTGGGTAAGGCGGTAGCTAGTGTCAGACTCTTACTGATTAAATATCAACCTGTTCCTACTCCTGCACTTCAAGTCTGAGCCCCGGCCACCATTTTCGTTCTCCGCGGTTCCAAAAGAAACGTATACTCAGATATTTGATATTTTCAACCAAGTTTTTTTTAGATGTTGGAAATATACTCATGACAATAATGATGCATCTTATACTGCCTTTCTATTTCGATGGCCTGATGTATACTTACGTCATAGTTACACAATTTATCTTGTTTGCTAACTTGATAATAGATGAAAACATGTTTTATTATGATCTAGTATTATTATTATGTCACTTTTACTCACACACATACATTTATGTTATGTTTTGCATATAGGTACTGTTTCATGGTCATTCTGTGTTTACATGAGTATTATAATAGTGTATAATATAAACTTTACCGTTGCAAAAAACTGCATCCGTAATATACAAAAAAAATATAAAATAATATTTTAGTTTATTTTGTGTTATTATGTTTCATCACGTGATGTTTCGGAAGATAATGACAGTTCATTTCATTTTGATAATCGAAATCGATACACAACATTTACATTTAGTTAATGATATGGGATTGACTTATAACATAATTTGCGAGGAGTGTATGTCACATTTAAAAGGTGTACCTACCTACCCTTTTATGGAGTACAAGTCGACGTTACGACATGTCGTCATTATATGTTATGGCGTTCCTTTTTTTAAACAAAATCCTCTGGCAAACTCTTTATCCACTGCCCTGTTTTCCATGTGATCGCTCGTGCCAAGGGCAAGCAAATATCACATTAACATGGTCGACTTTTTTAATGGGACAAGACCGCCACAACCTCCCAAAACCGCTGCAACTACTGTAAGCCAGGAACTACAGTAGATACAACCATGAAAACACCGGAACACTGAAGTCCGGCGCGTCCCAGGGACATGAGTAACTGTCTTGGTTCCCGCAAGGAAGTGAATCAGAAGATATTATAAGAGGATTATCATGGTCGACTGCCAACTTTGTCGACTGTACTAAACATCTATATTATTTATTAACGAAATCTACATATTTGTCAGGTGTCGCTGCCTTCAACTTCCCCGTGATGATTCCCTTGTGGATGTTCCCTCCGGCACTCGCCACTGGCAACACCTGCATCATCAAGCCTTCGGAGCAGGACCCTGGCGCGACTGTCATGATGATGGAGCTTCTTAACGAGGCTGGAGCTCCCCCTGGTGTTGTTAACGTGAGTACTCAAAGTCTAATTAATATAGGTACTGAAAACGGATGATGTATGTTAGAAAGTGCTGTATAAAACTTCATTTTTGGAAACGGCACAAAATGCTTTCCATTATTAACCGGGTCACGTTGATAGTGAAATAAATTGCCCGATATCGTATCTATCATAAATATTCATAACCATCTTGAATGATCTAACGTTTGACAATACCTTTTTGCACACTAGCGCCAATGGATGGCCGCAAAATAAAAATTACAATTTGTTAAAAAATGACTTAATTAAAATAATAAAACCTACCTTTCCATTCATTTACGACTTATATGTTCATAATTAATCAATGTTACATCGTTACAGGTAATCCACGGTACCCACGACTCAGTAAACTTCATCTGCGACCACCCCGACATCAAGGCAGTCTCCTTCGTCGGTGGTGACGCCGCCGGCAAACATATCTACACTAGAGCTTCTGCTAACGGTACGTTTATTCTTATACGGATTTGAAAAGGATAAAACGAAAAAAGATTGTCTTTTGATTAGTAAAAAATGGGTTATATATCTGTGTTGATGGATTCAGATGATTGTTATAAGAAGGTTAATGCAATATTTGTTACTGTTAGAAGCCTAAAGAAATTTAACAATAGGTCTAATCACCTCGTTGGTCGACTGGTCGCAAGTGCGACTGCCGGGCAAGGGGTCTCGGGTTCGATTCCCAAATCGGTCAGTATTACTGAATTTTTAATAAATTCTCAATAGAAGCGCGGAGTCTGGAATTATGCCCGGTATATGGCAATAGGCTCACCCCCTATAACATGGGACTCGTAACATCAATAGTGATAAGTGGGTGTTACATTGTAGTGACATAATGAGCTCCTCTGCCTCCTCCTTCAGGGATAAAAGGCGTGATGTTATGTATGTCTAATCATGAATGTTTGTATCTGAATCTGTACCTTTAGTGTATTATGAAAGACAGTTACAACTGTCTTCCGCTGAACATCGATATTTAACACGGAATTAGTAGTCATTCTGTGTTCCGTGTGTTCAGCTATATCTAGTTGTGACCTAGTATCGTAATTTATTAAAACAAGCGGAGGAAAGGCAGTTAACTATGATTTTCAAATCATATTGCGATAATGTTCCCGCTTACGGATAGGTAGACGCAAGTAAGCACAGCTCCTCCTCCCCAGGAGCCCTCAATGCAGCTGGAGACGTCTTCTATTTAATAAAGATAACACTAATTTTTATAACATATACATATTACACAAAAATTAAAATAAACAAAAATAATTCTTCCTTATACAGGTAAGCGCGTACAAAGCAACATGGGTGCGAAGAACCACGGCGTGATAATGCCGGACGCCAACAAGGAGCACACACTGAACCAACTGGCCGGGGCCGCCTTCGGAGCCGCTGGACAACGGTGCATGGCTCTTAGTACTGCTGTATTTGTTGGTACGTATGATCTACTCTTATATTATATATTATACACTAGCGGACCCAACAGACGTTGTCCTGCATATCCACTTGAATGTATAAACAAAAATTCATTCAAATTAGTTCAGCTGTTTAGGATAAATAACCTAAACATCGACTGCAGCGCCATCTGCCGGGCTGATTTGTGAATCTAAACCCTTGAACACACACAAAAAATTTCATCAAAATAGGTCCAGTCGTTTGAGAGAAGTTCAGTGACATACACACTCACAGAAGAATTATATATATAAAGATATATAAAAGAAAATTAGTGGGAGGTAACTTAGAACCAAGAGACGAGCATAGGAAACTTTTTAACCAAGGATTTCACGAAAATCCTACGGGAACGGGAGAATACAGGATTTCACGTACAAAGTCGTGGGCAGAAGCTTGGTTAAAATTGTTTTTTGACTGCCATGGTCGTAAAGACCGACTCTCTTTTGTTGATGAAGTAGCAGCATGCAGAGTCTGGAATTGTTTCCATTATAACATTACATAGGTTCACCGAAAAAATACGCGTACTTAGGGCTTACTTACTCCTTTGGCTTTTCGATCCAAACTGGATCTTGGCCTCAGATACGCGATTTCACAATTTTTTACGGTTCTTGTTACTCACCCATTACCAGCTTGATGCTCCTTCATATCTATGCCCGCCACATTTTTCCAGAGGTAATACATTGACTAAGATATGTTTCTTTACATTTCTATGAGTTAAGAGTAACCAAATACTTCACTATCTGATATTTAATAACAATAATAATATATTTGTCCACAGGAGAGTCTAAGGAATGGATTCCAGACCTGGTTGCCCGCGCCAAGGCATTGAAAGTAAACGCCGGACATGTGCCAGCCACCGACGTCGGCCCCGTCATCTCACCCAAGGCCAAGGAAAGGATCCACAGGCTTATTGAATCAGGTAAGATCAAAGATTCCTCATAGAAGACTTAAATCTCGCATGAAAGACACAGTAAAATGTTGTGAGGACCCGAAATCTACCAATGGCAAGTACCAAAAAAAAAATGTAACTGATTTTAATCCAAAATATCTGGATCGATGTAAGTTGACAAAACCTCCATATAGCTAACATCAAAAAGCGATCTTATTGATTAAAGTAGATTTTATAGTTTTATATAGTTGAGACATATTTTAACGGTACATATTAATAACCAGGTCTTAAATTATGAATAAACCAATTATTAATAAATGTAGGCAAAGGCCACAGAATAACTCAAAGGCTAACGAGTAACAGCAGCTGTGTTGTTGTTTATAGCGTAACAATTAAGTTTCCCAGACTTACAATGATATTTATAACTGCATGCAGTAATATAACAGTTAAAATAAACAGGAAACTATAATATTTACTTCTGTTATATACAATCAAGGCATGTGGAGACTTATTACAATAGGACAGTACAATTTAGACCTCTGAACAATGCGTCTCGGATTTGTAATTTTTTCTATATTCCTAACACCCTGTAATGTGATTCTCATAACAGAAAAGCTAATGTAACATTTCGTACTTCTCCGCCCACGCCTTGGCAAATATAAATCATAGTAATACGGGGAAAGTCACATCAATGGCGTAAGCTGTAATGTTAAATAAAATAAATCAATCAATACAAGACAATATTACCTTAAGACTTACTTATTATCACATTTTTTTCTTCTCTTATCCGCAACGAAATATATTCATGGGACGCGCCGGAATTAAATTAATGTTCCGGTGTTTTCATGGTTGTATCTACTGTAGACCTGTCTTACAGTTGTTGCAGCGGTTTGAAGAGGTAGTGGCGGGCCTGTCCCAAAAAAATCACAAACTGAAGAAAACTTATCATTTTTAGTAAACACATTCTAATCTAAATGTTTCTTGACAGGCGTGAAGGAGGGAGCTAAGCTGGCTCTCGATGGCCGCGGCATTGTAGTACCGGGCTTCGAAAAGGGTAACTTCGTTGGCCCAACCGTCATCACAGACGTACAAACTAACATGGAGTGCTACAAAGAAGAAATCTTCGGACCTGTCATCGTGTGCCTCTTCGTCGACACCTTAGACCAGGCAATCCAAATGATCAACTCAAACCCCTACGGTAACGGCACAGCTATCTTCACAACCAATGGAGCCACCGCCAGAAAGTTCGCCAACGAAATCGATGTCGGCCAAGTTGGTGTAAATGTTCCCATTCCCGTACCTCTCTCCATGTTCTCCTTCACCGGCTCCCGAGGCAGTTTCCTCGGCACCAACCATTTCTGCGGCAAACAAGGCATTGACTTCTTCACTGAACTGAAAACTGTCGTCTCTTTCTGGAGACAAAGCGATGTTTCACACGCTAAGTCTGCAGTAGCCATGCCCACACAACAGTAGATAGAGTATAAGATATAAAGTGTATGTATATTTTTATAACTATTTACAATCAAAGTATATATTTCATTGTTATGCCATAATCTAATGTAAGTCTTCCATAACTATATCTTGGAAAAGTTTATTTTTATATTTTTATAAAAATCTAATTAAATATTTCTTGTTTTAAAAACTGTATTTTATTTTACACTAATTTTGAATCAACCGCGTCTTATGCGCGTGCGCATAATATGGTACAAGATGGGCCAATCGTCAGTGAGGTCATCTGATTGGTTGGTTTACTTTGCAGGCTATTATCTCCTTATGTGTTTACAAATAAAGTCTACATTGCGTATTATTATCGGCTCAGCAACGTTGTCGCATCAGTCCTTTGTTGGTTGCAGCTGCTTGACAGAATGTAACACTATGAAATCATTTGGTTTTCGGCTAGCATGCGTAATAAGCGAGGGAATAAATGGGGATGTTGTGTAAATAGAATAATTGTTTGATACATTTTACCGGTAGTGATGCGATCGTGTTGAATGACATCATAAACATACGAGCAACGCGAACTTCCTGAGTCTCTTGTTACTTCGATGCCGGTACTCGCGCTACATACACGCGTCGCGATGTGTTTTTATTATTTTGTACTTTTTGTGTTTGCTGTTTTTGTGACTGATTGTACGGGGTTGACTCCACAATGCAGGAATGAAAAGGGAGAACCTGTTGATTGGTTAGTACATTTTTTATTTTTTCTTCTTTTTTTTTTAATAAACACAAAGAGTTTTGTTATCCTTTTGCGGTTCTTTGTTTACATCACGTACATTGTGGTTAAATATTTCCTGTTTGAATTGATAAGTAGTTTAGTGTTTTGCAAAACATAATGTGGGAATGAGAACCAGTTTCTAAATAAATAATAAATTGAATAAAATCTTTAAAAATTTGCCCAAAAAAGTTCGTTTTGATTGAATTAAAAAATATAGTAAATCACCTTTGTTATCTGTACCAATTTGTTATTCTTTTTGTAACAAGAATATATTTGCGAAGGTGAAACTTATTAAAATTAATATTACTTAATTCATGTTCTTTTAGTCAAGAATTTATCATTAAAGTATGAATCACATAATTGTCATTGCTATTTCTAGTTCTATGACTGTTCCCATTTACATAAAGTAGCCGATTGGTTAAGACTTAAAAGAATCCATTGCTAGAAAAGAAACCTCTACATATCTCAGGTAGATAATACCAAAAAATATGTATTTCATTAATTGATATAAAATACTATTTTTACCATCTTTGCGGTTTAGCCCGCGTGAATTTTGCAGGATATCTTGTCTGTACTCCTATCACGTCTATGCAACATTTCAAAAAGATCTGTTTAATGAAGTAAAAGAAAACATACAAACTCACATGAATAATATTACTTGGAATTTCGAGACGTTACCTAAATTCACTATTCTATTGAAATCCAATGATCCCTAAAATGTCATAAAAAAGTTAAAATGGTGGAGACCCTATAATTTAATGTTATATACAGGTTTTTTGACGGGAACAAACAAACGGCCCGCATGCGCATTGTTCAATCAAAATATTATGAGGGTTGTATCAACACAATGCTACATAAGTTCCGTATCGTGGCTATAATATGTGAGAACGATCTCCAAATTGTTTGGATTATACCGAATAAACAAAATTCTCTCAGTAGTAGATTATTTAAACATGCCAAAATATAGTTGGATACGTTTTTATCTTAAAAGTTTTACAAAATTAAGATTTGACCGATATCGTAAAAACCTCGATTTAGTCACTCATTGATTAACAAAATTTCGTAAGGAGCAAATCAAATGAAATCATCTTTATTGTCTTGATCTCTCTGATTTTATTTATATATTTTATTGTCTATTGTTGATATACTTTATTGTCTTGATGTTGACACTATAGGAACAGCCCAGGAAGGTGAGAGGTTTAGGTTTCTATAAAACCCTTATTTACATAAATTATGATCATTCTTCATTAAACTGTCAAACACCAAGCGGTCACCGGTGACCGCGGACTATTGTTCTTTAATTGTGTCTATAAAACCGGTACTCGACGAGTTAAACCATGTTATTCCAGGTTCTATGTTTACAAATTACCGCGGGAAAAGAATCACCTAAATCCATTAGTACGCCGAGGAGTCGCGTACATGCATTTGACTCCTTCGAAATTACGTGGAGGATGGATCATGTCGGACTTGGCCATCAGTGACCCGAGGTCTATGGTGGGGAAGACGCTATCACCGCTGTATCAGGTAAAAAATTAATGAAACATTTTGTTTAGAAAACGCTTAAAATATTGCTTGCCTACGTCAGCGTAAACCGTACTGTATATAAAGCTCGCAACTGCGTGCGCGCGATGATTGAATGAAAAAATCACATGCAGTTCGCAAGCGGCGCATTCGCAAGGTATGAACGCATTATTTGGTGTGTTTACAAACATCGATAATGACATATACACATCTCATTCAGACCCGAACAGTTTTTAGATCACAAAAATCGTTTATGAAATGATACCTATTGAAAACGAACATGTTTATTTCCAGGATAAAAACATAATTTCTTTAATCTACAATGATCAGCCGCCTGCTACTGAAAACCAACCTGATCTCCTGCAATCAGTTGCTGATATGTATTCTAAAAGCAAGAGAGGTAAGAATTTCATATTCATTTTTAAAACAATCAGACTAAAGTAGGGGTAGATAGATTTTTGTTAGGTTTATCTCAAAAACTACTGGATTGAGTTAGCGTAAACTAAACGAGTACGAAGTAACTGGTGCTAATTCATAAAGTTTTAAAAATGATATTGTAGACTTGTATAGATGATTGAAAGCAAAGTACAGTGGTCTGCAGGTTAAAATATCCTTTTCTGTTAAATTTCTATATTCCATCTTCAACATTGTATTGACATAAAGTCGAAAATGTAATGAATGAATTTGACAGATTGGAGGAGGTTGTTATGTAAGCCACTGTATAATATCATTTTACAATTTTGTGCAAGACTTAAAAAGTTCTGAGGTTTTACTTATGATTTACAGGTCAGCAAAAACAAGCAGGTGTGAGAAAGTACAAGAAATTCAAACTCGGTGACAAGTACTACGATGACTACGATTTGGCTGAAATGTGTAAAATGCACTCTAAATTCATGAAGACTAGAGTTGAAAGTGGACATACGAAGGGCGTCATATTAGGAGACAAGTTTACTTCGCTGTGGCTAGTGCATTCTGTGCCGAGGTTCCCACCTCTACCTGACTGTAAGTAGTACTTTTATTTTAGTAATTTTTGTTTACCTACCTTGTCTATAGTCTAACTAACCACCAGCTGTAGCCAAACGCCATTTAGCGCTTGTCTACATGTAGAATAGAAAACCAAATTATATGGAAATATCGTAAATTTTGACACTTGTCAGTGTCATTCCCATACATTTAGTTTTCTACTCTCTCTGTAGACAAGTGCTAAAGTGGCGTTTGGCTAAAGGCCCTGAGGTAATTCGTGGAAGGAAACAACTGTCACTACGCATTCCTTAAGACATTCTGGTTATCCATGTTTCACTTATTTGAGTTGCAAAGTATATCCGTCGTAACATTACTCCTTAAAGTCAAAATTCCGGTGTTTAATTAGTCGAGTATTGCTTCTAATTTCAACCCCTTTTTTACAGTTATGAGTGGTCTAAACGTCTCCGGTTACGACTACCCCTCCACTGGAATGAAATACGGACAATCCTTCCTCTGCGTCTCCGTTCAAACATCAACCCTGAACCAGATAGCTACCCAGTTGAAGTACAATGAACCTCTCCTAGTCTACACACACATACCAGCAGAGTTTGAAAGTGAATTGCCGAACTTAGTCGAAGTTATACGAAATAAGACGATCGACGCATCGCCCTGGTAAGTCGGATGTTTATGTTTTTAAAGTTTTGTATGTAGAACATAGGTAGTTGCCATTCAAACGATTCGGATATTCCGTTCTCATGGATATATTGACAAACATAAGCCAATAGAGGAACCTTCGAAGTTTTGAAACTACATGTCAAGACTCCAAAACAAATGACTGTAAAATTGCACAGGTACTGCACTAAAAGATTGGTAGAGAATGGGTCACCCCTCTGCCCCCTATTACATGCGACTCGTAATATTACTGGTGAAAAGTAAATGTTATATTGTATGTACTCTCCACCTTTGGTTGCTCGTCCGGAGGTTTAAGGGTTTTTAGGGTTAAAGGGCTTTTAAGTACAGAAAGGTATATTTGACTGCCTCGTTGGTCGAGTGGTCGGTCGACTAGGCAAGGGGTCTCGGGTTCGATTCCCAGGTCGGGTAAAGTATTATCTGGTTTTTAAAAAAATCTCAGTAGTTGCACGGAGTCTGGAAAGTGCCCGGTATATGGCAATAGGCTCACTCCTATTGCATGGGACTTATAACATAAATAGTGAAAAGTGAGTGTTAAGTTGTACAGTGGCATTAAGTGCCGTAATGTGCCCCTCTGCCTATCCCTTCGGGGATAAAAAGCGTGATGTTATATTTAAAGGTATCTTTGAATAAAATTATTATCGGTACAGTTTATTTTGTCAATATTAAAGGAAATGGTGACAAATTGACATACCTCAAAAGACACTGAGAATGTTATGCAAAACGAGATATGAATCACGTTAAAATATTTAAAATATAAATCAAAACACGACCAAAAATCTGACAATCAGTAATGTAACCTTATAATACTGAATTGATTGTAGTTCTCAAATTACAGCATAATTAATTTATGCAATGTAAACACTGGTCCATCATCAATGAGTCAGGGCGATTCACTTTAAGAATAATTCACAACAAACATTACGTTTGGTACAAAGCAGCTGTTTGTTTGTTTATCAAATTGGTTACCATAACATGTAAAAGGCAAATGTCAAGAATGTTTGCTGAACTTAAATGTATTGTTGCGTTATTTGGGAGGTAAATAATTAATACATGAGATAACTACTATAAACTGAAACTGGGGGTAGATGCACAGAACATTTAAAGTAGGTTAGAAAGGAAATAGTTCCTGATTTGTATCAGAACGCGTGTCGCCGTTTTTCCCCCACTCTTCGACTTTACTACAAGCAAGAGACCAATACCTACGCGGATAATGCACACAAATAAACAACACGCACTAGGTCGAAAGGTTTGCTATTGGTTGTCACACTGACGCAATCACTTCGTTTGACATACACGTATGTACGCCTTAAAACTCACGTATGCTAGGGGGACCAAAAGGTCGATCATTGATATCGATAAAGTATTATCATCTAGCTTCTTACTTTACAAGTATTGCTATGTGAACTTCTGTAATCACGTATTTATGCGAATATAGAAACAAATAAAAATACATAACTGTGTTTTAACAAATTTCCATATATTTGTTTAAGATTTTCTAAAATTACATTTTTACATAATACTTAAAAAAAAACTCAAGCTCAAAAGTCAAAAGCATTTATTTCAATTAAACCATAATTTGGTACTTTTGAAACGTCAACAAATATGAAATAAATAATAGTCTGTCAGTCTGTCCTTCAGTGAAGCTAGGCGCTCGTTCCAAAATGTCGATTCGAGTGGAGAAGAACTAGCAAGAAACTCCATCCTCCTCTTTTTAAGAAAAGAGTAATCTTTAAAAAAAAGTCTGTTTTACATTGCTCTGATACATATTCCAATATTGTACACACATGTGAGAATAATGTAAAGACATACCTGACACATCATACAAATAACAGAACGTACTAAAATAAAAAACAAAACCAAGAGAAAACAAATATCTTAAGTCTATTGATACTGACAATCCATATAAAATAGTGCTTCTATACAAGAAAAAAATAAATAAATAAACTCTTGTTTAAATATAATGACTTTGTTATTATGTAGTTATCATCATCGAAATGTTGCGAACAAATTGTACTACATTTAGTAGGGATCCAATCAATTTTTCCTGTTGCCTCAATCCACGGTTTTCTTATATTTGGGTCTGTAGGAAACCTAAAAAAATAAATTATACCTAACTCAGTTTTAATTGAAAAAATTACATGAAACTTAAATACGAAAACAACAATCCCTCACTTGAAACCTAAGTATATAATATTATTTATTACGACCAAGTATTAAAAAGACAAAAAATTTTGTTTGGAAGATGAAGTCAATTGAAATATTCTGAAATATTCTGCGTATTGCTCGGAAATTCTTTTATTGGAGACTCTGACCTGCGATAGCTTAGATTTTTACCGCTACTGGCGGCTTTATACATTTTTAAATATTTATAATAAATTGTTCACATTATAATTATAAAAAAATATTTAATTGAATTAAACAAGTATGGGAAATATTATTTCAGTTATTATTCTATTTGAACATAATATTTTGTATCCTAGCAATTATCGACATTGTTTACAAATTGACACCACTCTATCGATTCGAGGAAATAAGGCATTGAATTTGGTAATCGGGACTCTCGCTGTCAACGTAATACATTGCGCGATTGCTCACGTAGTGCAAAAAAGTATACAACTATTGCAAGCAATGTATTAATATTCTTCTGTTTGTGACATATATCGTTTTTGTAAACAAACGTCATAATGCTAATGTTATAATTACAAATATCACGAGAGTTTTAATGTTTTTGGACTCACCGGTGGAAAGAAATCCCTTCTCGTGCTACATTGAACATCTGGCTTCTTTTCCGACACGTTATAATTGCGCAAGACGGCATAATTTAATATTAATTGTGGAGCTTTGTACACTGTCATAACAAGAGCACGATTGACGGCTGGTTTTTGACATTTTGGTTGGCAATGAGAATTTGCTCATAATCGCGGCGCGCGTATCCCGCCCACATGGCCCTTCTAACCTACTTTAAATGTTCTGTGGGTAGATGTGTGTCAAAATAGCTTGAGAACACGAAAGACACAAAAATACCTTACTATTATATCTTCGGTTAATATTAAAAACTAGCTGTGGCCCGCGACTTTATACGCGCATTCCGTTGCATTTTTTTCATACATACCTTCTCATAACAGTAACAAAAACATTAAAGAATGAATTATCTAAAAAAAAATCCCGATGAAATGAAAATTATGTAAATAATGTATGTACATTTCGGGGATTCATTTTTATTAATGTATACGATGTATGCTTTGTAAGAGTATCTGTACATAAAGGAGGCCATACACGCTAGGTTTTGCATGATGGTTTTAACCGTGCATGCATAACCGACAAACATAACCAAGCACCGATGCACCGATAACTGTACAGTTAAGTCACATACACGCTAGGGCTTGCCTGTCGGTTATGCATGCACGGCTAAAACCATCATGCAAAACCTAGCGTGTATGGCCTCCTTGAGAGCATAGACTTACGTTATTGTTTTATGTAGTAGACAGAAAATTATTTCTTTTTAGTTTCCATTACATTCAGCTATGTATCGGAATATAGAAGCATTCTGATATTTTTCTAGAATCTTTTTCGAGGTATCCTTAGTAGTAATGTTATGAGATGAGGACGACTAAAACCGGAATGTAGGTCAATAGGGACATACTTAAGTACCTTTATATTATTGTAATATGTTCTCTGTGCACAAAAGGTCGCACCAAGAATATTGATACCATGATAAGTTATTGTAAAGTTAAGAGTGTGTCATCATTACCTACTTTTGAAAACAAATATTTTTTACCTTGCCATTGTTCTACACTCAATTCCTTTGTTCTGCTAAGGATAGAATATGTTCAAAGCTTTCACAGTATTGTTCAGGAAAATTATTGTTTTAAAAATTATAACTTTGTAGTAAAAAGTTTATGTATATTTCTAGCGTATGTGAACACTAACAGGTCAGTCGTTAAGTAAGCAATATTTTAACAACTGTACTATTAGTTTTGTCATCTGTAATTAGAATACAGCTGAACAGACTTTCACATGCAACATACCTAACGTCACGTCTTTTATTCGACTTCCAATGTAATACATCGGTCACAATTTCAAACTTTAAGAATTTATCGTATAAATCGCAATTGCGACCACTAAAAGGTGTTTCACATTTTCACATATTTATTTACCTATTACATTTTCCAGGTACCACATCGAAAGTTTCGAGACTCTTGTGGGAAGGAAATTTTTGTCGTTTGCAAAGAGTGCGATGTTCAATGATGACCTGTATAGCGGTTTGGTGGCAGAGGTGTTGCAGTCTGACCTCCTCGTGGAATCCTGGACTAATGGACCTGGCACACTAGACTCTGAATGTAGTCGGAATTTCCAGTGAGTAGCCTAACTGATTCTTTTTTACTTTTGTTTTTGGGTTTGGTTTCAATTCTGCACGTCTGGTTGCTATCTTTCGATGTCCTTTAAAACCGAATGAAACTATTTTGCCCTGAAGCAAGTCTTCTTGGTTTTGTGTTCTGCTTTTATTTTTCATAAAAGGACCAATAATTTGACAGTTTCGATTCGTTGAGAATTTTCCAGTTTAGAGTAAAAAAAAAGGTATAGGCGGGGAACACACAAATATTAGTCAGCAGTGAATTACGACTAATTGATGTAGGTATATAATAATGCACAGTTTGAATTAAAGTTAATTAATCGGAACCTTAAGATAACCAGAATAAATGATGTTATAATTAATTTCAGAGTGCGAAACATAGAGCGACTGAAGTTCCCGATAGCGAAAATGTCATTCACGTCCCACAACGATCACTCCAAGTGGGCGGTGGCGGTGGCACACAAGATGCACAACAGTCAAGACACCAAGGTTGCAGACTACTGGGTTTGCGTCGGAGACATTAATAGAGCGGTTCGTAGTATTTATTTTCCAATATTCATTTCAGGGTTCTCAATAAAGATTAGAGGTTCTTTAAAATAATCCTTCTAATATCAAACTCTCTGGCAAGCTAACCTGAATTGAATTGAAAAAAGGTGATTCGATTTTTACAATGACCAGACCAGAACCAGACACGAGCCTAAAAAGCCATCAGACCACCACAAATGGGGCCCAGTAGGGCTGATACCGATACGGGGCCGCGGATGCCAGAATGGGTTGCCGGGGCTCCGAATCGAAGAGCAGAAGTAGGAACGGGGTGGTTTTTAGTCAGTAAGGGTCTAACACTCCCTCTCGCCTCACCCAAGGCGGAAGAAGTCATTGGATGAATTTCTCCCTAATAAAACCTTATTTTCTTTGCCAATTTTTTTTTCAATTTACTTGGTTCATGAGCATTGTGTATAAGAAAAAGCTGTATTTGAGTCATTGTCCTGAAATCAATATTTATAAAACTGTTTCTCAATTGTTTCAGTTACCACAAGAGTCACGCGGTGGCGGTACGGTTTGCACGTCAGGTCCCATCTTATGGGGTAACTTTGCTCATCTTATAGAATCTGTACAGACGTGTAATTAGAGTTCAATTTACTTTGCATACAAAACGTCTGCTTGAGGAAATCGTTCCGTAATATAATCGTCAATAAAATTCAAAACTCGGTGGCACAAAATGACTTTGAAAAGAAAAGCATTTTCTATATTTTAAAGCCATTTTGTGTAGACTTTGAAAAATTTTGTAGTAAAAACTTCTTATGACGTGGTTTAATAAAACTGTCTTCCATAATGCCATCTGTCTAACCATAAAAGCGGCCATAGCGAGTGGAATAAATTATTACAATTTAGCTAAATTTTAGTTAATAAGTAATTATTATATTGTTAGTTTTCTTTTAGTAATACTAGATTTTAATTGTAAATAGTGAATGAAAGATGCGTTATGTTGTGTTTCACCGAAGCAAGAAGTGCTTAGAATAAAAAATCTTTAATTATAGTGATGTGTGTCATGCTAATTTGTGTCATGTTTCTCAGTCACTTAAGTTGACTTCAAATCGATATTGATTTTATCTTTGCTACTGTCTGAGCTGGCCCTCGGATTACATTACATTATTTGTAAATGTAATTTTGCAATGTACTTACATTCCTTTACATAGCAATGTTTAGAAAGAAATATAACTGAATAAAATATAGTGTTAGTACAAAAGGTGTGTTATGATCTGTGATCATAGGATACGATTGTGTTACATTAGTCGTAAGAGCACTTAAAAGATATTTATGAAAACTGTAAGAAAAAGTAATTCGAAACTTTTTACACATCGTAAATTTACGATTTGATCCCCTAAATGCCATACATGTATTTATTAATCGAATGACGAATTTGAATTATTGAGAAAAATATGAAAATAGATAATAATAATATTTTAAAGTAATTGGTTTTGTGTTTGTACTAAATTCTCAGTTTTTATACGTCAATGTGATTCTTGAATTTCTTATACTATAATTTCTTAGGTTAACTTTAGATATTTAGGTCTTCAATTTTATAATAAAACATTCATAAGATTGATGTATTTTTATTTCACACACACGTTATTTTCTGTGTTTACGATGTATTTATTTATAGCATTCTAAATTCAAAATTCAATTTCTTTTTTATTGTTCGATAAAAATTTAAATTGGAGTTGACGGACGTGGCCAGGTTTTGTCGTTTATATTTAAAAAAGTAAAATAATGCAGGATGTTTATTTATTATTTGTTTTTGTACTGTATTTGTTAGAGTGCTGTGTTAGTTTGAAACTAGTTGCAGGATGGGAGTTCTTGAATTTACATTGCAGAGATAACAAGAATGAGCCTGTGGGCTGGTATTATACTTTTTCATTCATCAAATACATATTATTGCATTATAGTTTTACTTAAGTTGTATTATGCCAACATCGACGTTATAGGAGCCCTACAAATGTCCTATATCAAGACATCGTTAAGCAATGTAGAATTGAAGTGTGATATCGCTTTATGTGCGATGTGGGCAAGAAATGAAGAGCAATAGTCATCGTTCTCCCCATCAACCGCGCGCATATTTTTTTAACGCTTGGAAAATCACAAATCACTTCCTTTTGCTCATAGTGTCAGACTCTTACTGACTAAAAACCACACCATTCTACCTCCTGGTCCGTGGCGGTACAGATATCTCAAACTGTCTCTCTAACTGAAGGTGGTACATCTACAAGCCTCCGAGCAACGTGGGGCCCACCATGGAGTCAGGAATCAATTTTACGTATCTCACACCCGATGTCTCTGGAAGTTTGACGGCGTCCACCAGCAATATATTCTCCAACGCCATGCTACGGTATACTATGGCACCAATGTTTAACGTAAGCACCATATACATATATAGCGATCCTAACTCGCTATGTTAGCTGTCATCACTTTTATACTTTTGGTCATATGAGCAAGAGGTATGTACAAAAATCTTCTGTGAACCTACAGGAAGAACTTACAAGATCTTACAGGAGTTGCAATGGTTAACTATACCTATTCCAAGCTTAAAAGCAATGGGGACCTACCGTATTTTTGCTCACCAGGATGCTTACTCTTGAAACCAATCTCAATGTCCAATGCAATTTCAATCAAATAAAAACTCAATAATATTATTCAATGTCAAAACTGTACAACCCTTATCGTAGCTGTTAAAATGACATTCAGAGTACCGAATATAAAGCCAAACTCAATAACATTTACCTACTTAAATAAATATCCACGTCATACGGATGCAATGGGCGCTAGTCTTGAAATTCAAAAGTACGAAATTTCGCAATAACAATGTCGATCGATTGGAATTGGATTCAAGAGTAAGCACTTTGGTGGCGCTACCTGCGCTGTGTTCACAGCGCTAGTTACTAGTTACTTTCGTTATTTGTCCAATAGAGAATTAGCTAGCGTCACCCGTCACCCCATTCGACGTTCAATATTTGATAGCTGCTGTAATTGGACAAAATTACATCTAGCTATTAGTAGTCCACATTGAGTGCTGTGTATATTTAATCTTTATTATGATTTTCTATGGTCATCACCTCATTACGAAGATTCCACTACTTACCTAAAGGTGGTCACATAATCTCTTTTGTAACTGTTTTCATAATTTGTATCATTATTTATTTACAGGTAGAATACTTAGACTATATGGCACTGGTAGTTTACGAAGGCCGAGAGCCCAAGGAACTCTTCAAGGGATCAGCTTCCCTTGGTATTATGATGGCTAACGCGGTGGGCGGCATTTGGATAGGACATACTATTCCTGGGTTTCCGGATTTAAAACGTGAGTCTTCATCGTCATCGTTCGTTGTTTTTAAACGTTGTCCCACTCTTGGATTTTCTTCTGAGTCGTCGCCTTGTGGGTGCGTGTACAAACATACAAGTTCGATTAAAAGTAGGTAGATGGAATATAATTTTAAAGATATTTTCCCTGGTAAACCTAGCCGCTGATATATTATTGGAATGATTAAAGAATATATCAACATATATTCATATACAAAAGATGTGAGCAGAGATAAGTATTGGCTTCGACTGCGTTACCGTGAGATAAAAAGTAGCCTGTGTTATTCCAGATCATGATCTATATTTGTTTCAAATTTCATCCCGATCCTTTCAGCCATTTTGACGTAATTGAGTAACAAACATACACACAAACAGACAAACTAACAAACTTTCGTAACCATAATTAGTAAGATGGCTGTTTGGTTTCAGCCGACACCCCAGTATTTCCCCCAGAAGAGTTAAAGAATGGTCATATGCTGATGTGCTTAACACTAGACCTAATGACAATCAACTCAATGGCAATAGCCATCAAGCAGACAGAACCGAATATATCAAAGATAGTTATACCAGAAAAGTTGAAGTTCTCTTTACCGGAGTGGGTGAATCTGATGATCCCTGATCATCAAATAAAGAGATCGAAAACTTCCGTGTAAGTATTAGTTTGTTCTTTTAATTCTTATTAGAAGTAATCTTCTTTATTGTTCTTTTTCGTTATAGATAGTCGATTCGATGAAAATATTTTAAAAAACAAGTATCAAGATGTTTTTGTCCAATCGCTGTAGCTGTCAAATATTGAACAACCAATGGTGTGACGTTAGCTAATTTCCTATTGGACTTAAAACGAAAAGCGCATACTAGCGCCACTTAGTGAATTAAAATACTTTGAATCCCATTCCGCCTCCACCTTATCTAACCATTAGTATCTCGTTAGTGCTTTTTGGTCCAATAGATTGAACATGGTTTATTTTCTTTACATTCCATCCTTACCCACTGGAACACCTGTATTACCACTACCACTAACCTAACTCAATGGAACACCTGTATTTTGAAACTATGCCTATGTTAGTGCCTGAAAAGTCAGCTGTGCAAATTGATATTTTAGTATCGGAGCCTATTAACCTAACCAAAGCAAACTATCTAATAATAATAATCAAACAATTTCTCGTTGTTATCTTACAGATGATACTGCGAGTAGCATATATTATTTATTAAAAATGAATTGTGATTTTCAGGAGAAAAACTAAAGTATTACATTTCTTAACAAGGGATAAAAGTTTGCGTGGTGTAATATTGGCTCGTAGTCCAGGAAACACGCGCTGTCTGTACAAGAGCTTCGCTAAAACCAAAGGGATTGTGATGGATGTGTATGGCCATAAGGAGCATAATCGACTCGTCGAATGTGATAGGAAATACGGGTTAGTTCCATACGACTAGTACTCTCTATTATAACTTATCATATTTGGCTAAGAGTTTTAAACTTCCCTATTACCTAGATACGAGGGGAATGGTAGAAAATGAGAGTAAGTGATACAACATTTATTTATTTTTCTGTGATTGTATGACTCACATATCATTTTACTAGTCTTGAATTAATAGCTGGCTTTGGATTGGCCCATGAAAGTTTTTACGCAAAAAAATGAGTGTGTTTTTGAGCAAGTCTTTATTATCATAATATGCCTGATACACCTGTTATTCTGTGAAAGAATAGACCTTTGTGATTTTCGCTTATAATCAATAGTATATATTTGATAGGACTAAGTCGATTGCCACACACAGGACACAATATTTAACAAGCAGACAATTTACATGCAGTAATAAGTCTTAATTATTATTCTTTGCAGCATACGTAACATCAATTCCATATCATTAAAGTTTCCGGAGGTAGTTTATTACATAACTAATTCGTCTGATAGCATGGGTTTTGCTGTCAGCACAGGAGGAGCTTGGCAAAGAAGTGGAATCAGTAAAAATCAATATTGGATGTGCACTGGCAACATAGAGAACCAACCGTTAAGTGCTAAAGGAGGCATTGTCGCTTGCGTTTCCAATTTTCAAATATGGCGTTCATTTGATATTTTAAAAGTAAATGAACCGCAGTGTCCAAGCCTCAATCTGTGATTTTTGATCTTGATTTGTAATGGGATTGCGATTGTGGCTATTTTGGCCAAATCGAGTGAGGGCCTAAATTGAGTTGGTCCTAAAAGTGTGCCCTGTGAATCCCTATATTTATGTTACTTATTGGTGATATTGAACTATTCTGTTGTAGTTAATGTTTACTGTAATAAAATTATTTTAAGTAATTAATAGATAAGAAATCATTGTTTGCTTTAGGTACAATAAAATGTCTGATAATTCAGTTGATATACTTACCACTTAAAATGCAACTGTTGATTGCATTTTGTAGTATTTGGTGTAGTACTAATGATTGATCACGCCACGATGTAGTTTAATTTAAAAATAAAAGCCTTGTTTATAGACAAAATGTTTATTATACAACACAAACATTATTTACATGATTATGATTCATATCGTTTTAACACACAATAAGTGACGATATCAAAACAAACAACACAGAAAATCGTACAAACACTATAGAAATATATTATGAAACCTTGTTAAAATGGCTTCACTGGATCTAAGACGCTATAGTGTATAATATACAGTTTTCATAATATTGAAACACTAAGTTTCTTGGCACCATGTGAGCTTGAAAATACTTATGTACAATTCCCACAAATAAAACAATCTTTATGAAATAAGAATGCTCCGCTAAGCAAAGATTTTCAGTCACCGTTGAAGAAAAGACACTATTCCAGGAACAACATGGAATATTTATCTTAGAAGTATCGTTCTATATAATAGCACGGTGAAGCGCTTCACCTCCGTCCTCCCGTGTCTTCGATATTCTTGGGAACAACGGGTCGCTCAAACTTACAAAGTATGATTACATAGTATACTTAGGTACGGATAAATGAGTAGGTATAAATTGCAAATTCAGCCCGAATGGCAAACTTAATAAAACATAAAATTAAAAACTGACTCGATTAAAGCATACAAATAACAATAAAATGATTAGAAGTTAGTTTTTCGATGTGACAAAGTTTTGGACCCTTCACCTCAATATTGGTGATCGTGTGTAAAAATCAGACAAGATATATTCACTCAAACATCAATAACAATTGATTAAATCCATAACAAAACGACGTAAGCTTAACTAATGTTTTAATGTTATTAAAAAGTGATACTTCACGTATAAAATATTTTGATTCATCAAACTCATTCTCTCTAGTTAAGCAAACGTTCAAACATTCTGTGCGGACATTATTGGAATATAACTTGATTGTGACATGCGATCTGTTTGGCAGTGAAAAAATTGGGGAGTGTGGCCTCCCTTCAGTGTGCGACTCTCAGCGAGGGCATCCTGGTGAACCAGGAGTCTTGTTTCACCTTCAGGTAGTAGGCGTCTCTTGGTGAAGGTACTGTAAGAGCATCTTCTAGAATCTTCAGAGCACTGGTCGGTAGGATCTTAGCGCTGTATTCAGCTGCTTCTCCCGGCATAGTCACTGCGCAGCTAGCGGTGCCAGCGCTTACTTCGGAGCTTGGGGTTTCGGGACGGCTGAAAAAAAGTGTAAGAAATTTTCTTCAATGAGTAGAATAAGTAATTGTAGGAACTTTCTAATGGACATCAATATGATCGCTTATTGTATCCCAGGCAAGATAAATCTCGAGTAGGTACTTAAAAAATGTAAAACCATATTGAATATAATGACAATTTACAATCAAGTACCTTGCGGGCTGGCTAGGTGGTTGTAACAGTGAGGGTGGCGAGTAGATCTCCTGCGCAGCTAGATCCGGCGTGTGTAGCAGTACAACATGTAGTCTGCGCGCACGCAGGCCGGCACGGAGCGCCCGCGCAGCTCCCCACACTCCCCAGCGCGCGGCCGCTGCACCGGCACTATTCTCACCCGTATCTCCTGCTTCGAGGCGCGATAGGCTCTCGCAAGCTGTGTCTGATGTCAATCCTATAATGAAAAATGAATAAATATTATTTTAGTGAAATCTTTTATTGATAAGTGCATGATTGATTTATGAAGTGATGCGAGTCAACGGTGTGCGGCTACATACAACGAAATTATGTAAGAAAGAATTGTTTTGGAAGATACTTTATATCAATATTAGGTATTGTGGTGCGTCGGCTGCCCGCTAATATTACTTTAATCTTAAGTACGGCTTGGTGGTCTTACGTCCAACTTACCAATATAAAACAGCCTGCCAGCATGCGGATGGTCAGCCGCAGCCGCAGCTAGTAAGGGAGAGAATGTCCTCGCGACTCGCAGCGCTCCCAGCACGTTTCCTCGCAGCGCCGCCTCCCAACATGTAGCCCCGCCGCGACCACTACTGCCTGCCGTATTGATTACCGCCCAGATGCCTGAAAAAAAAGAGGGTGGTATAAACTTAGGTACAATTCAAAAGTTCCGAATGAACTGTCTGGTTGGTCAAGTGGTCGTAAGTTCCACTGCCTAGCAAGGGTGGTTCACCTATTCCATGGGACTGACTGAAACTCACAACGTTATCAACTAATGAAAAGTGGGTGTAACATGTGCATCTTGCCTATCCCTGGTCCCTGGGGAATAAAAGGGGTGTTGGGCAATATATACCTAGTTTATGATTTCTTCGCTGAATGGTTTAGTATTTAATCTAGAAAGTTGTCGACAAATCCTGAATTGTCTTGAGTTGCAATACTGACTGAATATCACAGTGCCATTTTTCTAAAGAAATATTTCTTGAGGTTTTTTTTTGTCGACGGGGGGAAACTTTCAAAAGGCGTCTAGCTTTTTGGAGAAAACGACAAAGGAGTGTGGGATTTTCACCTCACTAAAACCTCCCGGTGGCCACCATCCGCACCCCCGGAGCTGAATTAACGGTAAAGTTCAGTATTGCGAATGTGGGTACATATAATTATTAAAATGACTATAATTTTATCTAAGAACATAGCGTAAACACAAAACTATAAAAAATATTTGCGAATAGCGCCACCTATACTGAGATGCGCAATTGTTGTCATCGCTTTGAGTTGAATATCACATTACATTGCCTCAGAGCGGGAAATGTGAGTAGGTCCTGTAAAGTCCAATAGATGGCGTTCTATGATCCTTAATGATGTAACCGTATATTTTACCGTAATGATTTATTATCACAATTTTGTTTTTATTTTTTCAATAAATATTAAGAACGTTTTTAATTTTAAAGGATTATTAAGGATCTTATTAAATCTTGAAGCATTATTTTGTCACTCCTTAGCAAGCACTGCTGGTGTAGTGGTATCATGCAAGATTCCCATTCTTGCGACCCGGGTTCGATTCCCGGGCAGTGCACTTATCGTTTTGGACTTGTTCCTTGTTAAAATGGGTTTCTCTGGTCTTTAGCCGTATTTTTCAATCATTTTTGGACAATATTTTTGCAATTAGATTATGTTGTTTTGACATGCCAAAATGTAATGAAGATTGTTTTATCTAAATGGGTGGGTAGATCGTGTTTTATCAGTTTGAGCATTTTTAACTCGTCGAATACCGTATTTATAGACACAATTAAAGAACAATAGATTGCGGTCACCGGTGACCGCTTGGTGTTTGACAGTTTAAGAGGGAAAAATCATCCAATGGCTTCTGTCGCTCGGGTGAACCGAGAGGGAGTGTTTGACTCATGACTTTGACACTAAAAACCACCCCGTTCCTACTGTTGCTTTGAAGCAGAACCCCTGCACCCCGTTAAGTCTTGAGATCGCGAGATGATGAATATGCATTATCCATAAATAGCAACTTTATTTTGTTTTTGACAATTATCATGTTAAGAACAAACATCACGGGATCTGAATTAGATTCAATTTACAGACTCACCATATTTCACGAGCTGTAGAAAAGGGCGAAAAGTGGGCGCTGCATAATTTAATACTACTAATACATAATTTTAATAAAGCACTGCTGGCTATCCGTTCGCGGATTAAAAGCCATAAAATTATTTTGCATACCATGTTCTCCAGCGGGTAAGTGCTGGGCAGTAGCTCTCGCGGCTTCCTCCAGCAGATCCTCTCTAGCCACGTCCAACTCAAGAGTGACGAGCCTCGGCTTCGGCTGGTCTTCGGGCGTGGTCGCAATATGAGCTTGCAGCCAGGAATCGGCCAGGCGGGCTCCTAGTCCACCTGTCCTGCAGCCAGCGATCACTCGCCAACCACGACTGCTTAGGTATGTTGCAATCTGGGGAAGTTCAAATGAACTTTATTGAGAAGAAATAAGGTTGAAAAATAGAGGGGTGTAGCTTGATGTGCTGGCTGTTTGGTGCATGTAAAATCGAATACAAATTAGTTTTGTATTTGTGTACATTATTTTGTCTATATCAAGAGATTTATTTATAGATCGGCTTGAAGCTAAGCGTTAGACTTATTGAATCAGGTTTCAGGCCAAGTGGGCGTTGACCGTGTTGGCTACAGATTTCAAGTAATAACATTTTACGGCGATAACAAATTGTTTAGGAACACGAGGGAAGGTATTTATCGAAAACCTATAATAACGTTTCCATATCGACCGATACTATTTCTAGGAAAATATTCTACATGTGAAGTACCTCTATCCTTTTCGTTTTATTACTGTATTGGCTATTAGTCCAGACATTTTAGACATTTAAGCCTCCACGCTGGAAAAACCAGGAATAATGCTTTCCAATTTTCTGTATGACAATTAAATTGTTTAGTAAACTTACTTGTAGTCCCAATGCTGTATCAACTGATGTTACTAGCACTGTTTTAGCGCTGTCAGCTGGCAGTACTTCAGCTACCCTGACCTTCCTCAGCAGATATAGCAGCAATGCCCCTACAATAGAGCATAGTGCCGCGAATTGTAGACCGAGGGATAACCAAGTGAGCGCGTCCATCTCTAGCTCAGTGTGCAAACATTATTTCTTACTCGATCTGTAACAAGAAATAGACTTTCATTAGCAATTTAGATTATTGTGATTGTTTCTACGTTGCTTTTCAGAGGCACGTAATCTGAATAGGTATATAGATCAGATCTAATTCATTGTCAGGTTGTCCTGCTGTACTTATCTATACTACTTGACTACTTGTCAAGTATATAAGTCAAGTCAAATTCAATACTTTAATTGAAATGTGAAAAACGATACTTTTCTATGAATTTTGTATTGGATCGACTTGTATTGTACTTATTGAATTGGACTTATGACGTCATCATATTTCTACGTCAAATAGCAAACTTGTTTCCTTAAAATTAGCGAGAAAAATCCAAAAATAGGTAAATTGTCAAATCAATGAATGAGAGTATGATTTTTTTTAAATTATTTATTTCATTGAAAAGTTGAAAATTTTAAACCTAGGAAACTAGACAATGAAGTTGATCTTTTTGTTTGTTTCTCACAGCTTAGGTATTTAGCCTACTAGACTCCCTACCACATCAACGCTTTAACTATTTGTATCCATTGCGTAGTTCAATTATCCTAGTTATTCTATCTATTCGCAAAGATCTTACGATGAGTGTTCTCAGAATGTTGAAATCATCTCCAGAGCTTAAATATTCGGTGCGTCATCTCATTGTTCTTTAATTAGTTATATTTAATTACATCACCTCTGTAGCTGTAGGCGTAGTAACATTTAAACTGATTGCGTTTTTGTGTGGTTTAAAAGAAGACATTTGATAAGCATGAACAACACCCAATCGTAGTTGCTATTAGCAATTGAAGTCGAAGATATTCTGAAACGACTTGGCTACTGGTCACGGATCATTACATAATTCGCGTAACTGATCAATCGCACACCAACTTATTAAATTAAGGAATCTGGGTTACGAATAATTGATTTAAACGAAGCGCAAGATTCCATAATAAGTGCGTTTGTAGTAAAATTGCCACGCAATGAAGAATCGGAGTTATTTGACCTGGTTGAGACTGCGTGGGACGGTGGGAGTATACTTGATTCAATTAATGTTTGTGAAGAATTCTGTATAACTGTTAACAATGTCAGTGTCAAGATCACAAGATTACATCAAAATATTGTTTTTGGCGTAAATACATGGAATAGTTGCGTAAACATTATAATGGCAAAGAAAGTAAGTGAAGATAGGACATGTCTGACAATGAGATAGATGTTAGAGGTTCTTAAAAAAGAATACATTACTATGGTCCCAAGTATTCAGAGTTTAGAAGAGTTATTTTTATCGATAGCTTTTTAAATAAGTAGTCTAAAGGCTAATCTCATCAACATCTGTCGGTAGATTAGGTTACTCAAAGTAGTTGACATATCTTGTATGTAATTTTTTAATCTTTGCTTTCAAAAAACTAAGTGTTTTCACAGTTTAAGATGTATTCTTAAACCTAAGCATAACGTCATATCATATCCTTATATTAGCACGAAGGATACAAATATTTATTTGAAATAGAGGTACTTACATGAAATAGTCAGTTGATCGTAAGTTTGTTTACATCTATCGAGAAATGTGGTGGATGGTACGTTTCATGAACACCTTTATTATTGTGGTCTCTTTATTTGTTATTGTTAGCTGTATAGACAATGTATTTCCTATAATTTCGTGCTGTGGTTTTACTATTCTCTTTGTCTATTTGATTTTCAGTAAACGACGTTATTGGTTTTCATACCTATACTAAAATTCAAATAGGTAGATATTTAAATAAAAGATGTACGCTGCACTGTGTACCATTGTATCTCTAATATTAATTTAGTTATTAAATTTTTTCGCATACCTAATTAAGGTAATTCAACATTTTCTCATTGTGCAACTGGTTTTTCTGAAGCGATAGCAAATATGATATTAAACAGCATTCCATGTCTGATAGTGATGAGTGATGATTGAAATATAACATTCAAACTTGATTTAAACCAACGATTTGTGTACTAATACAATGTATCTACTTAAACAAATAAACACTTATTGTATGCCACTTTTCTTACGTTTGATTTATTAACCACAGCCGTCTGCACTTCCATTGCCGGATGTCGATGCTCACATGTAGGAAGAAATCCTTGACTCGCATCTTACAAAGGAAATGAGTATTTTTTAACAAAACCATTAGCACCATGTGTATCTTTTTCCATTATTGTTTCTACGTCTATAATAGCACCCATGTTCTGCGTTCGAACAATGCCAAATAAGCACATTCTCTTATTATAGTACTTACAGCTGCTAGCTGGCATTTGCATCTCAATTTGTGTGTGTATGTGTGTTTAAATGTTTTCATTGTTATTTTCTCGAGGAATATCTGCATCTTCTAGTCTTTCTTGATTTTGCTTATTATGCGACATCAGCGTTAGAAGTTGATATACGGTTTGAATATAACTGTAGATGATGTTTTTATTTTAATTGTAACTGGTCATTCAATTATTAACTTTCAAATGTTAATGTCTATAAAATTTGACTCTTGACTGTTCAAGTAATTTACTATACCACATCTAAACTATGTTGTTTGTATAAATTGCCTAAGATACCAAATAAATTCATTATTAATTTGGTATAAACTACAAAACGTATAAATTATAAACGAAGCCATGAATGTTTTACGTTTAAAAAACCGTCATTACAATTTTTATCGATGCTCATTGGAATGAAATAATATCAATGTGCCGGCCATTACTATTGAGCAGCGGTTTCTCTCGTAATAGGCCCCTATTATTAGAAGAAAGTCCTTTTCTATTCGATCGACAGTCGCGTCGGTTCCGCATGAAAGCTGTCCGGTAAAATCATTGGCACTTGTAACTGAGGTGCCAACATTTGTTGCTAAGTGGTTGCAATTTATACGTCGTTTTTCTACGATGCCGATTGATTGCCCTGCTTTGTGGTCTATGAATTGTTAGTCTTTAGTTATAAGTACCAGGATGTAACGTATTTCTTAGGCTGTCGTAAACTGTTCATGAAATAGAAAGGAGTTTTTGTTGTCTTTAAATTTACTTCATATGGTTTCTTTACAATAGAATTAAAATCGATATTTGAGTAAAATACAGAACAAAACGTCGTAAATTGAATGTCATGAGACTAATACATAATTACATGAGGAGTGGAAAATGTTGTACCCATATCATTACGTGACATGATCCAACATACAGACGAACAAAAACGTGGGAGACTAACATTGTGAATATTCTTTTTGTTTAGTATTCAAGATCAAGGTTAAACGCCGTAAGTGAAGAATTAACGTCTTTTTTAAAGGCGAGACTGTTAATGATACTTTATTGTAATTAAAAACCAACACGTTGGCGGCAACTTTTTGGTACTACCTAATTTAATGATCTGATGGGAGAACAAACAGTTAAATAGGAAATAAACCGCTGAAATACATACCAACTAATTTATTAACACTCTAAATCTGTCGCGTCTACTAAAGTTAATGCGCATGCACTTTACTGTTTCAGTTCTAAGATGTAATAAACCCCGATCTTTATTTGTTTCTTTGAAATCTTTGCTTTTGTTTTAAGTAGGCGGCATTGTGGTATTTGCTTTTGTAGAAATAAAATTAGTTCCTTTAAAAGGTATTCCTTTTGGATCACCTAATTTTAGATAAAAATATTAAACAAAGTCGGAGTTCTCAAGGAGGTGTTCTAGGTCCAACCATTAAAATGAATATTATAAAACGTAAAAATCATGCAATACAAATTATTTTAGCGTCATAGTCATATACATTTATCATAAGCCATTATCACAGTTATAAAATTGCGACATACAGAATGTAGAAGTAGCAATGCCAAGAAAAATGTCTAATCATCACGCAATTTGCACTCAGCAAAATCTGAGATAAGACTAGAAACAGCTATCAACGGGTAGATCAAAGACATGAGACTTACATTTATATACGGCAGCTGAGATGACGATGAATAATATTTTACAAACCGACATAGCCGGTTTGAATCGCTCCTGACTATAAAGCGGTTCAAGTGAGATCTCGGAATGGATGCTGTGCTAAAATTAGCATATCCTGCGAGTCTGTCGCGAGATATTCATCCCGTGTCCTGTTATTCGTTTTGCAATAAAATACGAGTACCAACATTTATACTTGTTCTCAGAAATGGGAGGCTGAATTTAGACGGTTATTGGAATCTCTGTATGACTGTAATGGTTACGCGTGTTGAGTCGTAAAATCTTACGATCCATGACAAATTGCTTACAGCTGAGAAGTTGTTTCAGTATCAAAGTTGGTAATGGCTTAAATAACTTTACTGTGCGGTTGTTTAATGTGCTTTGTTTATAGGACGAACAAGACAAAAATATATTATAATGTAGTCTTGGGTTATAGTGACCTTTTGACTTATTATGTATTAGTATAAAGTCATTGATTTAATGATTAATTAGCTAACTTTATAGGTACCTACTACACTCGTGTGATCTCCGGTATAATCTTAATCAATTTCAATTAATCTACAGACGACATCTTCATGTTCAAAGACGATTAGATTGAATGGTACAATGAGTCTTTGTTACAATAATTAAATAAAGTATGTTTATCAATTAACTGTATTGTTCTGAAGACAGATTTCAAATACGATTACGATCTCTTCGAGATTGATTGGTAGATTGAGCTTATCTTCATCGAATTAACTGACATAATATGGTTTAACATTTCTTGATATAATGTTATCATTTATTTTTACTTTGAGATGCTGTTGTATTTTGAGAGCATGTTTGCTAATACTGCTCTTGTGATTACAATTCAAAATATTCTATGAACACGGAACATTCTACATATAGGTAATGCCTTATTACGTGTCTATGTTTAACTTTTAACACAATCTTCTTGATTTAGTTTTACTGGTATGCATTTTCTCCTACAAATGTACCACTTTATTCACTTCCACGAATTATAAACGTTTGCTAACCCTACTCTAGTTTCAATTTATATTTAAATTATATGAGTCC